AATAGTTTAGCATTTCCTTGAAAAGTTAAATATACAGTCACCTATGACTCAGCAGTTCCACTTATAGGTATGTAATCAAAGGAACTGATAATAGACATTCAAACAAAAACATAAATAGATCTTCACAGCAGCATTATTTACAGTAGCAAAAAAGGTGGGAATAACCCAAATATCTAAATGTCAATAGATTATTAGATAAGCAAAATGTGACACAGCTGTACAACAGAATATTCTTTCATCATAAAAAGAAATAAGGCACTGACACATGCTACATGATGAACCTTGAAAGCATTATGCTAAATTAAAGACACTAGTTACATAAAACTATATATTATGTGTTTCTATTTATGTGAAACACCGAAAACGGGCAAAGCTGTAGAGATAGTAAGTAGATTAATGGTTGCTTAGGGCCAGGAGGATGTATGGACAAGGAAATGAATGCTAAAGGGTAGAGTTTCTCACTGTGCAAATAAACATGTTCTAAATTGTGCTGATATATACTCAAACTACTGTATTGTGCACTTTAAATGGGTGAAAGTTGTTTAAAAACCTCTCTATAGGGGCCGGGGATTTAGCTCAGTGGTTCTGTCACCTGCCTCATAAGTGCAAGGACCCAATTTCGATCCCCAGTACCAAAAAAATAACCCCAAAAATAAAAACATCTCTCTACATAATGAAATTATTTTAAAACAATATTCTTTACTGTTGACGGAACATATGATATAAATTGTAAATAGGAAATACACATAGTATCAAAAAGTCACAGCTTTAACCAATACATAATATATAGGAAATTTTGTAGTTTTGCTGCTGACTTAGCTAAATTATTTTTTGTTTGTTTGTTTGTTTGTTTGTTTGACACAGGGTCTCACTATGTAGTTGAGACTGACCTGGAACTCATTATGTAGCCCAAGCTGGTCCCAAATTCACAGTGATCCTCCTACCTCAGCCGCCCAAGTGCTGGGATTACAGGAGTGTGCCACCACGCCCGACCTTAGCTAAATTATTGTATGTTGTCCTCTAGTTGGGTGACTAATGACATGTAGGCTCTATTTTAACAAAAAAGGAAAAACTAAAGTGACATGTATTACTGGAAATAATTTTGTTAATTTCAAGTTCCGTTTTAATCTGGATGAAATGGAATATTTAAAAAGCCATATTTTATCTGATAAAGCTTAGCACACCACCAGTTCCCTTCTCTGAATAATGAGGTTGATGGGCAAAATGAGCTCCGTTTTTTTCCAGCTCTGACATATGTAGTATCTGCTAGGTTTCAAGAGGGATATGTCAGTGGTTCAATTCAGGCATGGCCTGTTTCCGGCTTGACTACCTCGTAGATGTTGAGTTAAACAAGTTTGTTTGTTTTTTTCTATTTAGTTGCAGTTTTTCACCCTCATGTTTCCATGAGATATGAATGAAATGTTTTATGTAAATGCTAGAATATTGTAGAGGTTCAATATACAAATCATCATTCCTATTCTTTACTATAGTTGTGCTATATTATAGGGATGCTCCTTGGACTGGCTACAGAGAATGAAACAGAGAACAAGAAGATCCAGTGAGAAATCTGGACACCAAAGAGGTCCTGGAGATGCCACTGAGAATAATGACTAAAATCTCCAGTTCCATTATTTCTACGTCATGCTTTTGCATATAGACATATCTCATAATTAGCATCTCCAACAACAGAGTATCACAGAAAGTATATCTATTCTCATGTACAACAAATACATTGTAAATCTTTTAAAATTGGGCATCCTTATTCTATAAGGAGATTATAAGGGACAAGGCCAGAGGAAACTATTTTCTAGAAATGCTTTCAAAATCAGGGGACTGTGAAGACCTTTTGACAGTCACCTATTACAGCTATCACACAAATAAGTAAACCCAGAATTATAGAGCCCCTTAGAATCCGTTAAATGCTAAGATCTTAGAGCAAGGCTGAAGAAATCAATCTATTGATCAATCCATTAGAATTTACAGAAACTCTTATTACAGCCAACAATTCTCAGGGTTGGTAAGGACAGTGTACCTACTATGAAAAGTGTATAATTCAGAAAGATATAAGATATGCACATCTGAAAAGTTAATATCTAAAACAATATTTGAGAGGCAATTAGCCTAGGCCTGGGGGTTAGACAGAGTTGAGTTCAATTCCTAGTTTCTCCAATCACTAGTTATAGGTACCTTTCTGGATTTGTTTAATCTCTTCAACAGACTAAACAACTATAAAGTCAAAGATAACGATCATGACCATGTTATATTTTTCCAGCCTCTGTAATTACTTATTAAGTAAATAGATAAATATGGCCCTGGAAAAATGAAAAACAACTAAAACACTGATGATTCCTATTCTATCCTGGAAAAGTGACTTCCCCATATAGATTTCAAAGTCATCTCTGAGGTCAACCCATATAACTGTCCAAAGACAGAAACCAAATGTATATTCAGACACTTCACTCTCCTGGTTCTGATATCCTCCATTCTGTCCTGTTCTTGTTAACCTGGGAAGATTGAAGGGAGGTAGAAATGACCCCAAATATTGGCCAGCTCTGTAGACAAACAACATAGAGGCTTCCCTGAGGGAATGTAGGGTATTAGGATGGGCAAGAGCACAGTGGATTATGGTCGGTTGTGTTAAGGTCTGAGAACTTACCTCAAAAGTCTAATGCACAGAGAAAGACAAGTAGGCTGAGAGAGTAAAACTGAACAGCACTTTTGTGAAGGAAGATAATGAAAGAACTCTCAGCTAGTTTCTTGCATTTTAGAAGATGAAATGAGACATTATATCTAAGACAAGACATGCTCTGTCATATCTCTGTGCATTATCAGCCAACACCTCAATTCTAGAACATGAAGGGGATTAGGGAATTGAAGATAATGCATGAGCCTGTGTTCAATAAAACAGTGAGTATGAGGACATATTTCTGACTTGCTTTTTGTGTATTGACTTTTCTGTTTCACACTACTTCAAAGAGTTCTGAAACATTTTAACAGAATGAACACACAGCTGTAATGTAATGAGGAATAAAATTAAAACACAAAAAAACTGTATTGGTGATATGAAAATGAAAAGAGGGGATAGACCTGATACAAACACACACACACACACACACACACACACACACACACGCATGCACGCACGCACAAACCCCTAAATGTCACTCACAGCTGATAAACAAAGCTGGTTTATGCATCCACTGTCCACTGCCGCAGAGAGGTGGGTTTAGAACAGGGCTGGTCATGACCTCATGGTGACATATGCTCAGGAGGATTTCCTGGACTATGGGCACATTCCACTGAAGAGCATCTCCTGTGTATGCAGCAGTGACTCCTGCAACCTGCAGTCCTGCTGTTGCCACAGCAACTTAGTGCTGGCTCCCCTGCCAAGCCTGTGGTACAGGCCCTGAACGCATCATTGCCCCTCTGCTCTACCCTTGCTGAAACTCTGAGTGGGGGATGCACTCGGACCATCAGCACTTCAATGACTCCATCTGCTCTGACGCAGTCTTCAGCAGTCTTCACATATGTTCCTCCTTCTTTTAAAACCTTGGTCAAGAACACTCAAACACATAGTCATCATTTGTGATATCAAAATTACCATAGGCAAAATATATTTTCAATCAAAGTGATCAATCTGTGTGTGAAAGTACTCACTGATCACATTTCATTTCCAAACTGTAAGCTAAACTGTAAACACTGTGCTATCAAGGCCCATATTATTAATTATGTATGAAGGATATGAATATTATCATCTTTAGCATTTTTAAAAATTCTTCAAAGTGACTGTTCTTGTAGAATCCAGTTTGAGCAAAAATCCTTCGAATTTGTTTAATGAATATCCCCCACCCATGGTTACCTGAGCACCTTGGCCTGACTTCACCAATAATCTTATCAAATCAGCCCTTCAATGTTTCCTCTTAGTAATTTTCTATCCACTGATCTGCATGATGCTCTATGATTATAAATCTCCCCTTGTCTATGTTGGAATTGGAATTGAGTCCAATCTCTCTTCCCCACCGAAAAACCCCATTCCAGTGATCTCTATACAGTACCTATTCTCATAGCACTCCATCTACAAAGTCTGCCTTACCACCTTTCTGTTTTTTGTTTTTGTTTTTGAGACAGGGTCTCACTATGTAGTTGAGACTGACCTGGACCTCACTATGTAGCCCAGGCTGGTCTCGAATTCACAGTGATCCTCCTGCCTCAGACTCCGAGTGCTGAGATTACAGGTGTGCGCCACCACACTCAGCTCTGCCTTACCATCTTTAACAAAGAAGATGAGAAAGAGAGGAAGTCCACAAGCCACAGGCCTGCTTTCCCTCCACCACAGCCAAATAGTGAGGGCCTACTGTGTGCAGATCTCAGCTCCAGGGTTCAGGGGCAGGTGAGGAGGACAAGACAGACTCCCAGGCCCCAAACCTAAGAGCTCCACTCCAGCAACAATTCTACTCAAGGCTCTCTCCCACACAGTGACAATGATGATCAGAGACCCCGGAATTTAAGCCATGCTTTATCCTTTGCAAAGCATTTTCACAGATTACTTTTCCTGATTCCTTCTTCCTTAAGATTTCTTATTGTTCAAATTCTGGTTTTTTAAAGATTAAAAAACAAAACAATAAAGCACATGTCCCCGAGCAGAATACACTGAAGTTTACTTACCTTTGAGAAGTCAATTAGCAAAGTAAGCTATAAAATAATCGCCTAGGGAGAGTTTCGCTCACCCTTTTGCTGAACTACCGAGAGTAAAGCATCTTTTCACTTTGGTGGCAACAACAGCTTTAGTGAATCAAAGCAACCCGAACCTACCAGAAAGAATGAGCAGAAACCATTCAGCCAACCCCAGTGATCCGCAGGAGGGAAAGCAGAGCGGGCAGTTTGCAAAATCCCCTTACTCACTGGAATGGGCCCTTTTGTGTGATTTCCTCTGGAGGCAGCAGTCAGGGTTGCTCTATATATACAGCGTCGTTCCCCCACGGCCACACAGCACCAAGAAAACCTCTGCTGCTCCTGCTCTCCAAAATGGGAAAGGTAAGTCCTGGGTACCTGATGTTCTGTCTTTATTCTGCTGCACCATCCCCTCTGGCGGAAAATCGCTCATGCTTCCGCGTCTTCCTTTGCAGATCACCTTCTACGAGGACCGGGGCTTCCAGGGCCGCTGCTATGACTGCAGCACCGACAGCCCCAACCTGCAGCCCTACTTCGGCCGCTGCAACTCCATCCGAGTGCACAGCGGCTGCTGGATGCTGTACGAGCGCCCCAACTACCAAGGCCACCAGTACTTCCTGCGGCGCGGGGACTACCCCGACTACCAGGGCTGGATGGGCCTCAGCGACTCTGTCGGCTCCTGCCACCTCCTCCCGCAAGTAAGTGTGGCTCTGTCCTGTCTGTCTCGGGCCTCTAGAAAGAAAATCTACTTAAATGGGGCTCTGATGGGGCCGGGATGTAGCTAAATGATAGAACACATGTTTACCTGCTTAAGGCCCTGGATTCCTTCTCCAGCACCAAAAACAAATAAACTTTTTAAACCAAATAGTTCCAACTAGAGAGCTAGGCCTGGAAACCACACCATTTAGAAGGGTGTCTCAGATGTGAACCTTTTTTTATGTGTGAACTCTGTAGTGCTTTTTTTTTAAAAAAATCATGTTCCCAGATTTTACATTTTAAATGTAATTTTAAAATTCAGGGAACAAAGACTAATTAAGAAAAAGTAGTATATTAGGAGAGAGACTGAATTTGCTATCCGTTCAACATATAATTTCTTAAAAGTGCTCATACCAAGCCATGTCAAATCAGAAATCCAATCTCTCAAAATTTGTAAATACAATCTGGGACTGTTTAGTGAATTAAAAGTACCTTGGGGGCTGGGGGTTTAGCTCAGTGGTTCCATCACCTGCCTTGCAAGGTCCCGAGTTCAATCTCCGGTACCAAAAAAAAAAGGACCTTGGCTTTCTTGGCCTTACTTTTCTACTTCGTTATTCTTCCTAGAGAAGATAAGCCTGTATCTTCTGCTTTTGCCTACCAGTACAAATTAAAGGAAATTGAAATCTAAAGTTTGAGGTTCAGTATCTTCTGGAGATTTGTGGGGAGCATGAGTATTGGTTGTAAGTACTGTTAACTCTAGTAACTCCGTATGTGTTAAGCTTCTCCAGTTGAGCAGGTAGTGTTTCCTTTGTGGAATTCCTGAAAGTTACAGTTTCTTGTCTCTGACCTTTAGATGTGTGGTTGTCCGGGTTACTACTACCCACGGTGGGTTGTTTTGGTGAACCTGTTTTCTCTTTTCCTGTGTGACCTTTCAGTTACTATGGTAAACC